CCAAACAGTTTGTTTGGACTTTTCCCTAACATCTTATGGTAAAACCCAAACGAGCATTTTGGCTAACCCAAAATATTCCAGATAAGCAGATTTTAATCCATTTAGAAGGCTTCCCTGATGGCTCAGTGGTAAAGAATGCCTACCAGTGCAGGAGATACAAAAGATGTTGGTTCGATCCCTGGATCAGGAAGATCACCTGATTGGGACAAATACACAGAAAAACTAGCCTTTTGGGTGGATGATTGTCAGTTAAGTGTTGACTTCCCAGCTCCAAGCAGACCTACGGCTCAGTCACAGGGATATACTCAGATCAGATGTAAAACACAACAAAGATCATGAGGATGAAGATGATGAAACCCAAGGCTTTATTGTCAAGACTGTTCTTAGGATCCTAGATCAGTCTGTGTGATGGCTTGTTCTAGGATCTTGTGCTAGGCCTGGGGGAAATGAAGGGAGAGAGTTGGAAAATGAGCAGAACCATCTCATTTGTGGACCACCTGGCCTCTTGGCCTGAATTCCCAGACCTCACCATGGGAAGAGGGAGAACCTGAATGGCACCTGTATTAATCTCAGTGGTTGCCAGAATGGCACCTGAGATGGAGGAAGAACAGGTAATATCTATTAGAAACAAAGTGGATACACTGACCATACAGTGTCATTTCCTAAACTATGGGTCAGAAGCAGCTTCCATGTTTACTGTGACATACGCAGCAGAGTGAGCTCAGTGTGTAATGGGAAAATTTCCTGAAAACTAAATGTCTGTCAATAAAGGAATAAGGTTCATGGAGTTCAGAAAAGTAATGCACACCTGTTCAAAACAACTAGGTAAATTAATATGTATTGAGAATGACATGTGCAGGGTATTAATGAGTAAAGTAAATAAGCAAGATCCACTTATTAACTCCTCTACTCCTGCCAGCTCCTTTCTGTTCCCCATGCACACCTAGCACTTACTTCTGAGGCTACTCCAGTTTCATCCCAGACGGGATGAAGAAAGCCTGCACCATTTCCTGCTGCTCCTGGGGGAGGGTGTGTGTGGAACTGGAGGTGAGCGTAGGTACTGGGATGGAGAATGCAGATGCTGAGGCTCACTGGGACTGGCTTCGCTCACCAACAGCTTGTCATTCACTATACAAAGACTGGAGGAAAAATGCATATTTGGATAACTGATGGATGGACCACCCACACCCCCAATCTTGACTGCTCCCACTGCCAGTCAGCAAACCAGATTCCTTCCATCCCCCTCCTGTGTCTGTCCCCAGGCTTCTTGACTGGTTCCTCTGCCCCTTGCATAGAGCCCACCTTTGGAGAGATTGTCTACCAGCTTCACTCAGTGGATAGGCTGATCCCCAACCCAGTGACAACTTTACAATTACCCTGAACAATAGCCCAGTACACTACAGCAGAAGAGTGTGCAGTCTGATCCCCATTTTCAGAAGATGACACTGAGTCACAGACAGATCATGTGACTTGACCAAGGTCACACAGAGAGTGAGTATTGAGTCAAGGAGAGAGCCTATATGCCAATTCCAGAGCCCATGCTCCTCCTAACCACTAGGTTAGACTGCTCCTTGGCTCTCCCTGCTGGCTTTCCACAATACTGAGTAAACCTAAGGTCTGCATCCACATGCCCAGGACCCTGAGCCCAGGCTGGATGGGGATTTCTGCCCACAACACGGCTCTTACCTGGAAGAGCTGGCAGGGGTAGCAATGAAGGTCCGGGTGAAGGCACACACACAGCTAGAAGACCTTCCTTCCACCTCAACAACAAACAGTAAGAGTACCCCTTACATCTCCTACATAATTTATAGGCTCCCACGTCATTCCCCAGTCAGGGTCTGACTTGACATTTAGGCTGAGGGGACAGTTGTTCACTTGGGAAGCCAGGGTGTTGGGAATGGGGAGGGCAACTGTAGGAGCCATCTGCTCCCAATGACATGTCCCCATGACAACAGCTTCACAAGTTCATGTGATGCATTTTTCACACCTGCCCAAGAGGTGGACATTATGACTCCATTTTGAAAATGAGGAAGCTATAATGGCCCAAGTTCTCAATGTAAGGATCTGGGATGGGAGCCACCAAACTTGACATCCTATGTCACCAGTGCCCAGGCTGGAAAGCACAGACACGGATGTAGTTCAAACCTGAACTGTGGGAAGACTGAGGGAAGACTTGAGGGCTGGAGGGGAGGGGAGGAGAGGAAAGGGGAATGGAGAGGAGTAGACTGGAAGGAAACTGGAAGGGTTCTGGTGGAGGGGATCCATGATGGGGGGAGGGATCTACACATACCTTGCTTGAACACCCTGTTGACAGAGAAGCAGAGCATCTTTTCCTGAGAGAGAAGAACCCAGTTACTCAGCCACCCCTAAACATCTTCCCTACGATGTGGCTTCCTGCTCATCCCCCACCACCAAAGGAGGAGCAGGTGCTCACCGTCTGGAAACACATGTCCACCACGAAGGGGCTGAAGTCATGTTGAGTTTTGGGCAATGCACAGAGGGCATGCACAATGCCATGTTTTGTGTGTTTCAGCAGCTGGATATGCAGGTCTGTGGGGGAGAAGAAGAAAGCAAAGGTCAGGTCTGCCATGCCATGGACCCTATGATTGGCCCCCTTACCACCTTTTTCAGCCCAGTCTTCCCACCACACACTTGTTGGGGTCCTTGAACATCTTCATATTCCTGTTGTCCAAGAAGTATGCACACATGCTGCTTCTAGGAGACACAGAGGAACAGTGGGTGGTGGTCCAGCCAGTATAGGTGTCAGCAGGAGCTGGCTTGCATCTGCTGGGGAACCACACAGCCTGGGGGAAGAGTCTGGGCTGTGATAATCACAGGGCTGGGTCCTTGGGTTGGAATGGAATGGTCAGGGAGAAGCAGTCCTCCTCATGATAAGCACCCAGGAGTCCCTGGCAGTCCCCATAGTCATGGATCAAGTAATACCTGAGGGGAAGCAGTGAAGACAGTCTATCTGTGTGTCTAGAGCTTTGGTGGCCTCCCCTGTCCTAGCCCTCCCCTTACTGCTGCAGGAATTGCAGGATTAGACTCTTCAACTTTTCAGATCCAAATAAGCTTCCCTAGAATTAAAACAGTCCTCAGGACCAGGGTTGACACCTCCTCACATACCACCTAGAACCCTGCTGGATCCTCTGTGCTCACCTTGCACATTGGTAAGCACTTGGGGGCTTCAATAGCACACTTAGACCCTGAGGGGGAGGAAAGAGGAAGTCAGCAGTGCAGTCCAGGATGTGGTGCTGGATGATCAGGGAAAAGGATGGGCCCAGGGTTGGGTGGGGCCAGAGGTCAGGGGAAAAAGAGTCCTGGAAATGCCAATGGTAGGACTACATTTTCAGTCATCTCCATGGTTTACCTGAAGCCTGTGGCAAACATGGCTGAAGAAGATCCAGAGCCTTTTCAGATTCCCACAGAGAATGGTACACCCACCTCCTCCAGGACATTTAATGGTCAGGTTCAAAAATGGAACTTGAACAGGTCCTAATAGGTTTCAGAGTAGTTTGTGGGCACTGTCAATGCTATTTAGAGGAGTCTGTGATCAAGGAATGCACTTACCAAGCTTAGAAACCTGGGGAACAATTCCAGGATGGTGCTGTCAAAATCAAGACAAAAGAGAAGTCAGTAAAACTGTGGACATGACCTTCCTCATTGGAACAAGTAACTTACAGCATCACAGCCCTGTGTGCCCCCCACAGAGCCCAGTATCCTAGCATTCCAGGGCTCTGAGGTCATCTCACCCAGGTCACAAATCCATGGACTGACTCAGGGAGAATGTTTATTTCATTCCTTCCTACCACTCCCTCTTCCATCTCCTTCCCTGGGTAGCTCCCAGCCAGACTGTTCTGACTCCCTTTTTCGGTTCCACAAGGGCCAGCACTTCAAATCCAGTCTGCAGGCTGTCTTCCCCCCACCTCTCTCCCTTCCTTCATTCCTCCAGGGCCCAGTGAAGGCTGTGGAGAGAAGAGGATATGGGGGGAGAGCCTGGTGCTTTGCTGCCTCACTGGGGATCCAGTACTTTTTCAAAGAGTTAGGACACACCTCAAGGATGTCCTCAGGCCCAGGATGCTGTGACAGGGAGGTGACTGAGGTGGGGCTTAGGAGGTAGGGAGGGAGATGGAAGGAGATGAAGATGGAGTGGACAGAGGAGGGGAGAGGTGAAACATAGGGTGTAGAGACAAGGCAGAAGAAGACCTCATGTTGTTTGACTTATCATGGAAGGTGGTGTACACAGTATTTCTATCTGCACACATCCCTTCTGGTTCCAGCTGCTGACCATTGTCCATCTCCCCTGCAGCCTTCACCTGGAATTATGGGGAATACCCACATGGACCAGATGGCTCTGCACCCACACCCTTCATTTCCCTACGAATCCACTTCCACTCATCTGTCACCCCATGAGCCCTCACATGTTTCTTCAAAGGAGGATCTGGGTGTCCCACCTCACCTCAGTGTTGGAGAGGTTCAAGTTTTTGGTGGAAGCATTCTCCATAATGGTGGACAGGCCATGCACCAGGTAGGACTTCTTCTTGCTCAGGTCCAAGGACAAAAGCTATGATGAGAAAGAGAGTGAGGATCCCAAAGGGGATAACTGAGACAAATCTGCTTTTTCTACCTGATCTACCTGACCATCCTCACCATCAGCCCCAACACTGGGTCTAGGTCCTCAAGTTGGGCATGATCACTAGATGGATGTGCAGGGAAGCAGCCATGCCATTTCTATAGTTCCATGTCATTCCAGTATGACAGGTCATCAAGTCTCCAGGAAGCCAGGATGAGGGAGACAGGCTGAGAGGGTCCCAGCTGGTGTACTTTCAGCACCAATCCCTCCCCATGATACCATCTCTGAGTGCTCTACCCAGACAGACCCTCTACCCTCACCTCCCCTACAATTACTGCTGTAGCCATACCAGAGTCAAAGCGGAGTCTCTGGATGTCAAGAGATTGCTGGCAGGCATCCTATGGTTTGTTCATGGTCAGCTGCAGAGTTAGGGATGAGGTTCAGTGGCTCTGAGTCTGAGGGTGAGTGGGGGAAGAGGACTAACTGGGTATGAGTGCACAGCTTGTGCTGAGTCTGCATTACCTTTATCTGCCCCACCTTTTCAGACTTCAGCACCTTCTGCACAGACTGGGGTGTGTCACAGGGTTCAACAAAGATAGATAGCTGTAAAGAACACAAGAGGGGCTGGGTAAGCTCCAGGAAATCTGTGCATTGGATCAAGCAAGACCATGCCCCTCCCCTGCCCTCTTGTCCCTAGTCAGCCGCTGATACACACTCCTTCATTACCCTCACTGAAAATCTTGCCGTTGACATTCTTCAATGCACAGGCAATACTGACATTCTCTACAAAGAACTGGGCTTGAATTTTCTCATAGTGAAACTGTAGGGAGAGTGACAAGAGAAACAGAATATGAGACCAGAGCGAATTCTCTGTGCCTGCCACCTACCCCTTTTCCTTTCATCACCTCCATGCCTTCTCTTACTTTGACTGGAATGAAGGGCACACTGCACTGCTTCAGAATCAAATTAAGCAGCCACTTCTCATCATATTTTATACCAAAGGGAATCTATGAGCCAAAGAACAAATGGGAAACAAAACTGATACAATAGAATCCAAGGTTAAGGTAAGACCCAATTGTGTCTTGCTTTAGGACCTTTTATCAGGCTTTAAATCATTTTTGAAAATAGGACAATATCTGTTATCACTGACTTTGGCATCAGACATAGATTTTCTGGGTACCCCTTGTTTTTTTTCATTCAAATACTTCTCCTGAAAAATCAAGTTAGTATGTTTCACAGGTACTTCCTTTAATAAAGTTCCACATGAGATACTCCTCGCCTGCCCCTCTGACATGGACCCCAGAGACTCAACCTCTTCCTACACCCAGCTAGAACCAAACACGTGATCTGGTGTGAAGTGCTCCATCTCCCTGGCAGTAGTTTCCTCCTTTGCTTTTAGACAAGCTCTCCCATGTTCCTCCTTGCAGCCAGTCTGTTTCCTTTCTGTTGCTTCTCTGAACTCATCCTTAGATGATCTAAGAAGATACCTCCTGGTAAAAACAAGATGGATTATGAACTCCACTGCCCCAGAAAAGGTCTCAGCATCTCTACACAAGTCCAACATGACTCTCAGTCATTTATACACATTAGGTCCATTTAGCCAGGATACTCACTATGATCTTGAACCAGCTCCCAAAGGTTTGTTCCTGTCTGTTTCTCTTCATTCTTCTCTCTGGAGGCTTTTGCTTTGTCTCCAAGTTAACATGCATTTGGTCTTGTTTCTGAAAAATACTTCTCTGACGATGGGGTGGAATGGCATACGGAGCACTGTGGGGAAGTGGAGAGAAGAAAGTGGTCCATATAGGCTTGGAAAGTCTTCTCTACATTTTCCCAAATGATATCAGAGCTACAGTGAGGAATACTCAAACATTAACCTCATCCCATCATTTTTCACTCTGCCAGGTTGGAGAGAAGAATGACATGTTTAACTACAAGGTTTTGGTTTTCACTGGTTGGTACATGTCAGTCATGCTGACTGGTCACTTACTGTCTTACTTGGTTGTCCATATGAACATCACCTGCTTCTGAATGTCTACCTTGGTGCTGCTGGGAAGTGACCTGTTCAGGCCAATATTTGTATTGCCTTTGGTAAATGCCCCAGCTTCATGCTCTTCTTTGTAAAAGGTTCACTTTATCAGTGTGCTCTAAAATTGACAACAACAGGTCAATGGTCACAGTACAAGAAGAAGTCCTCAGTAAATATCATGGCTACTGAAGAAATATCATTGACTTTATAATCTGAATAGAAGTGTATCACAATGCTAAAAATAAATTAAGAGACCTCACTGTGGCTCCAGTTTTCAGGAAATGAGAGGTAGGGAGCAGTCACAGCCAAGAAGAAAACAGACACTGAGGAAAGGGTCTGGATCTAGAGTGTAGTATGTGATGTTAGACCCTGCTGTACTTGATTCAGGCTAGGTTACCTTGGGCAAGAGGCTTTTCATCCCCAAGTCTCACTTCTCTGTTCTGCTCTAGGAGGACAATAAAACATACTCTTAAATCTACCATGGTGTGATGGTTCAAGGATCAAAGTGACCTATCTCCCTGAAGGAAGAATTAGAGAAGTGAAAGATAAGTCTGATGAAAAGATCCAGAATAGAGTCTGGAGAGATGTAATATGGAGAATACCAAAAGAGAAGTATAGAGAATTACAGGTGATGCAAGGAGTATACCTAACACATGGCTAATGTGAGTCCCAGAGAGGAGAGGGAATAGTGGAGAAGAGGTATTTGAAGAGAACATGGTTGAGAAGTTTCCCAAAGTAACAAGACATCAACTCAGTATAAGAATATTAATAAGAAAAAAGTATAATGGAGGAGAAACATTCTTAAAAGAATATATATTCATTTCATCATCATGTAGCAAAAACTTAGAAATTTGTGACTAAATGTTTCAATCTAAAATATTACAGACTCTTTGGGGCAGAAGAAATATCATCCCTAGTAGAGGCACATAAACACTATAAAGAAAGACTAATGGCATTGTTAAGGGATTTAAATATATAGATAATGATAATGTGTGACAATAAATTTGGAGACAGTTTAGAGAATCAAAGTTGTCTCATGGTCCCATAATTCTCTGAGCAGTTTTAAAGAACTAATTAACTAATATTAGACTGTGAAAATGCAAACATGTCCACTGTAATCTGAAGAGTGAACACTACAAGAATAGCAAAAGAAAGTTTAACTAGATAGCCATGTGAAGTAACGATTTAATAGTTATAAAACATCAACCATATCAAAGGAAAGGAAAGGGAAAGGAACTTAGAAGAGGTAAAAATAAATATAGAGTAATAGGATATACATAAACCAAATTATATCTATTTATATTAAAAGATTCAGGGTAAATACTCAAAATAGACATTTTATCAGACTGGACAAGAAACCTCTCGTCAAATACATGCAAGAGACACATGCAAAATTTAATCATCAGGAAAATTAGAACATTAAAAAATGGCAAAATGTACACCTTTTCCACATTAACCTCAGAAAACTGGTAAAACCATATCAGTAAAAGCTACACTTTAAAGGGAAATTTCTTTATGATAACAGGTTCAATGCAATAAGAAGATAGTAATACAAATTCTAAATTTGTATGCATCTTAAAGCAAGCATACAAAGCAAAAACTGACAGAAATAAATAATGGACAAATCCACAGTCACAGTGGGAAATTTTAACACATATCACTGAGTCACACATAAATGGCAGACAAAATCTCAGCTAGAGGGGATATGATTTTAAAATATGACAAATTTATTTAACAATGCACATAAATGCTCATCGAACATTCCAGAATAGATCACATGACAAACAATAAAGCCTCAAGAATCTTCTATGGACTAATACGATCTACCCTGACTAGTTAATGTAAAATCCATTAGTAATGGTTGGTTTTCTGCCCTCCTCCACCTCTAGTATAAATCCAAAGAATAGTAGTTTATATAATCCTACCCTCCACCGAGGTGACCCGTGCCACTCCCCAAACCTTAGACCTGAGAAGATAACATGACTCACACCTTTTCCTTAGCCAGGGAAAAATTCAAGTCAGCAACGGCCATTTTCACTGAAGGGGAGGTTTACCACGTGGAATTGAGATGGGTGTGTCAGAGCCCACTTGGCCCATTTCCTCAAGAGACTGGAAAATAGTCAGTCTGGGCTCTCTCCCCCCTTTCCCTAAAGGACGGTCAACTGGTTGGGGGTCTTGTGGTTTGGGGTGGGGGAGGGAACCCAGAACCTTCCTGCTTTGGGGGGATCTGAAGAGCAGGTCTCGTGAAGACCACTCACCCATAGGGTGGCCTGAAGGCAGAGATCTATCACCACCATCCTCACAGGCTGCCCTGGAAGAGAATCTGTGGGTCTGGAGCTGGAAGTTTGTAGAATGTCAAGGAAGGCTGCTGAGGTAGGAGAATGCAAGCCCCAGACCACTTCATCACAGCCACATAAACAAGATGGCGTCCTAACAGGAAGTCCTTTCCCCAAAGGCATAGAGGAGTAGAGTGTTGGGGGCTAGAGGAGATTAAACTTCCTGTAATTACTGCCCTCTGAGTTTGCTACCAGCCTAACACCCAGGGAACTCTTTCCAACAGTATCACCCCTGCAGAGGAGGCCAGTTAGAATCAGGAGGCTTAGGAATCTTGATACTTGTAGCTACAAACACAGAGAACTCTCTGTGCCAGACTCTGCATCAGCTACATTACACTGTGTTCCTTCATTCTGCAGACCCAGAGAACTGGGAGGGCCAGCAGTAGGAAACGCTCTGTCCTCGCTACATTGCATCTGTTCTTCCCTGTATTCCTCACAAGGGGACTTTGATACCAAAATCATCAACTTTCCAAGGTCGCTGAGGCTTACTGAGGTGCTACACTTGTTTAGGGTCATTCAGATGCTACTAGGAGAAATAAGCCGGAACTGAGCTCCATGGAATGGAAGATAACTTCTTGAAGCATAGCTTTACTAAATATTTGGTGCAGTATAGGGGTTTTTCTGAAGTTTATGCAAAGTACCCGACCATTCTAAAAATAATCAAATGTCTAGAATTAACTCTAACCTATTCCAGAGAGATCATACCAAAAAAATAGCAACAAAAAACATTGAAAATATAAAGCAAATACAAATAGAGCTTGGTAGGTTACTGCAATGACAGTAGAAAAAAAAAAGTAGTCTTTACTTAAAAAAAAAATGTAGTCAATGTAGCCAGATATCCCCTAGTGTAGGGGTCCCCAACTCCTATTGGGAACCAGACTGTACAGCAGAGGGTGAGCTGAGGGGGGAGTAAGTAAGGGAAGGTTCATCTGCTGTTCCCCACAGCTCCTCACTGCTCATTTTACTCTCAAACATCCCCTCCCTTAGAGCCAGAACTGTAGATCTGAAAGTCTCAAATCAGAGGTTTTCTAAAGATGGAAGGAGGGAGAAGCCTGGGTTCCAGTCCATGAACCAGAATTTTCTGGAATTTTTAATATCTTCTTCCCTTTCCAGTTCTCTGGGCTCTGAAAGAAGTCCAACTCCTGAGAGGTGAAGAAAATCTTCACATGACTGTGTGAACATCTGAGGTGAGGGAAATGTAAGATGCAAATGCATATGAATACACAGATACATTGTCAAGTCAAAAGTTGAAAATTTTGACTTTTTATGAAATATCATGTGAACATTTTTATAACATGTCAGTTATTTTCAATTATTCCTATGAGCAAATTTAACCTAATCACAAAATCTCAAACATTAAAAATGTATACTTAGAAAATAAAATTATTCTTAACTTTCCATCTATACAATCAGCTTATCATGACTCACACATACCCAAGATATCCAATGTAAAATGATTAGTGCACATTTTCCTGATGTGTTTCTCTTTTGGTAATGTGTATACCTATGTTAAAGCATTTGTGTAGGTTTGTAGTTCTAGATATAATATTGTTTTTAATTTTCAATTACATGGACTTCCCTGATGGTCCAGTGGTTAAGACTCTGCACTCCCAATGCAGGGGGCACTGGTTTGATCCCTGGTTGGGGAACTAAGATCAGACATGCAGCAAGGTACAAAAATAAATAAATAAAATAAAAAATTAAGTTACATAAGTAAATGTATGCAAAGTAGCTTTTCATTTATTATGACATCTTTAGATTTTCATTTCTTCAGTTAATGATTTGGCATCTTTCCAAATGATTACTGAAGAAGCATCTTGTGTTTTAGATGAATTGAATTGTTTGTGGCTATTTTTTGTCTTTTCTCTATTGATTATCAGAAATCCTGTTTGCTCTTGCATATGAGCAGAAAATCTGTAATTTTGTTTGAAATGTTGTCTCCCAACTTTTCAATATTTTAAGTTTTTTTTTCTTTTGACAGTAAAGAAATTACTTTAATTTTTGTGGATTTTTTAAATATAAAAATAGCATAGCTATGATTAAAAAGGGCTTCCCAGGTGGCACAAGTGGTAAAGTACCTGCCTGCCAATGCAGGAGACATAAGAGACACAGGTTGGAAAGATCCCTTGGAGGAGGGCATGGCAACCCACTCCTGTATTCTTGCCTGGAGAGTCCCATGGACAGAGGAGCCTGGCGGGCTACAGTTCATGGGGTCACAAAGAGTTGGACATGACTGAAGCAACTTAGCATGCATGACTGAAAAAATGAGTAATGCATAGGGTTGCATAAAATACTAATCCACTGGGAATTCTAGATTCAAAGATTTGAGCACCTCAGGGCAAAATGGAAAAGAGCTTTAGATCACAATCTACATTATTGAATAATGGGAAAAATACTTGAATATGTGTTTTCTTATAGAAGAAACTATGTAAAGTGCATCTGGCCTAATATAATTAACTCCATAAATGATCATTTCCTTCCCTCTGTGGAGTCTAATTTCCTCTGCTTCAACCTGAGCCCCACACAAATCCCTCAGGACATTTCAATCCCTGGGGCCCTATATCCAGGGAGTGCATTTCACCTGCATCATCTTCAAGACCAAGACATGGAGGAGAGGGTTGTCTTAGGACCCTATCAACATGGCA